TAGGTATCATTTCAATTTATATCGTGTCAACATTTTAGTTTAAGGGTTTATACAGTAGTCTAAACTTGAACTCAAAATTATCCCTATAAATAATACTTTCAAATATAATTCACAGTAAGTTCAAAAGCTTCATGTACGGTAATTGAAAACAGTTTTATTTAGCAGCAAAAAAATTTTATCTTGGCTAAAATAGTTATTTGCGAGTAACTTATCAGCGCAAACTCTTAGCAAAACGTAGAGCCGTACACTTCAGCCCATGCAGTGTAACTGTCGACGGCGGTATAGCGCACGGCCCAATATCTGCCATACTTAGCGGGAAACTCGCTATGGGCCCATGACCCGCAGTGGTCCCGTTGCCCCATGTTACCATAGTTATATGACTCTATCACTCCTAGCGTCTTCTATCACTCCTGATTACATATTACGTCGATTCAGAAGTTTCGTCGAATTAAACGTAATAAATTATGTTTTCAGTTAATCAAATTATCAGAGCAGTTTAAAAATGTTCCAATGAAGAGAACTATCAAGTAAAAGTTAACAATAAGTAATAAATGAAAAATTCACGAATAATGAGAGTACTCTTTGCCCAGAAAAGTACTGTTGTCTGTTCTTGATAATTCCTCGAATAATGGAGGACTTAAACACGGTAGTCGGGCGTAATTGAGTCAGTTTTTGCGGTCATGTGGATCGAGGTGATGGAACGTACGTATAAGCTGGTTTTGCCCGCCAGTGACGTGTGCGACCGAGCATATAAGGAGGCATAAGGAGCTAGGCTGAGATGATTCAATTAAAATGCGCTCACTGAAACCAGTACAACGTGATAACCAACTAAACGAGTATGCTCCCATAGAGTTAAGTTCAAGCGCAAATAAGACTATGTGAGCGCAAACTTTGATACAAAGATAGACAAAAATGCAAAAAAAAACGCGAAAGCCTTCTTTTTGTACGCTAGTTTCAAGTGTAAGACAAACGACGGTATTTATCATCTGAAAGCAGCTCAAAGATGATATCCTCTGATGATGGCATGGGAAACGTTCTTAATCAGTTCTTTAGCCTTGTGTTCACGGATGAGGACTCGAACAGCATTCCAGCTATTGATTAGCGCCCAGCAGGCTCGAAGTTAACAGGTTTTGAAATAAACAAATAAGAGATTCTCGAGTACCTGGTCGCTCTGAACCCGATAAGTCATGTGGACCAGACGAATTCCTCCTGGAGATTGCTCAAAGAATTAGCAACCGTCCTGGAAGGCCTTTTGGCAGAGTTCTTTCAAAAAAACTTGAACGTATCGCCCTGTCAGTCTCATAGAATAAAAGTGTCGGCACTGGAGAAATAGGTCCATGGCCTGTTGCCGATTATTGTATTTTTCGTGACTTGATTCACTAAGGATCCAGCCTTTTGAATCCGATCTTTCGACAACTGACAATAGATTGAGATAGCTGCTGGACTTATTGCAAGGCCCGTATGTTGCTAGGCATTTCAGGACTAAATATACAGTATGCTCCTGCATAGCTTAATCTTTACAGTATTTTCTTGAAGGCGTTCATACGCGGCGCGTCAACGATGCTATCAGTGAGGCTGTTCCATGCACGTGTCGGTGACTCGAAGCGAGAAGAAATGTTGTAGCATGGATGTGTTACAACGCAGTTTTTAGTTCCAGCCGTATCCCCTGTTGTTTGGTCATGTTTCAAATTGTAGTAATCCTTCTGGGACCTTGTATAAACCGTGGGTATACTTGTATACTTCACTGAGGTCACCACGCAGACGTCGATATATAACAGAGGCTTGAAAGCAACAAAATCGCTAATCTTTTTCATAAAACTTGCCTTTTAAGCCTGGAATTATCCTTTTTACACGTCTTTGAACACTCTTGACTATATTTTTGTCATGTTCAAGTTTCGGTGACCAGATGGCATTTTCGGACGTACAACAACGAGCAAAAAAATATCTTCATCGATTTAGCATTTAGGTCCTCTCAAGAGCATCTGTTCAGTCTAAACATTTTATGGGCTTTATTAACTTACGTTCCATTATGCTTAGAAAATTCCAAATGCTTGTCAACATAAGCTTACAAATATAATAAAATGGGCCCTATAACGCTTATTTGTGGCACGCCGCTATGTATTAATTGTTACCCAGTTTTATACGATTACATTAATACTGACCCGTTGATGTCTATCTACTAAGGAAATCTTTGATCCATTGTAGTGCATTCCTCTTGATTTCCAAGGACTGTACTTTACTTACAGAGGTGGGCAGTAGCGCGCTACATTTTCAGTAGCGGTAGCGGCGCTACATTTAAGGCAATGTAGCGGTAGCGATAGCGCCCGCTACATTTTTAATTAGCGATACGAGGTTTTTCCGCTACAGCGCTGCCGCTATACATTTATAGATAAAGCCTTTAAATTTTACCTAATAGTATTAAATATTATTTAAAAACCAGCATGATACATACATAATATAAATTACAGAATAAAACTGTACGAAAGATTTCGGTGCAATGTTGTCAACCTCAGCCTGTTACTAGTGTCAACATGGAATTTAAAAGCAAAAACAATACCACAAAAATTCACCATATCTTTATAAGAGAAAACGTTTCGTAGTCCAGCTCCATCGTCAGTTCACAAAATTCAGTTCAGAAGTTCAATCCTAGAAACACAAATACAATCACTACCATCACGCGCCCGATCCTCAACTACGCGGCCCCCTCTGCATGGTACCCTGTTGCCTCACGTACAGCAGTTGCCAGCCTGCAGATAATACAAAACACCGCATTGAGACTAGCCACCGGCTGCCTCAAAATGACCCCGATCTCCCATCTTCACCAGGAGACCGGCGTCCTCCCTTTGTCCGCGCATCTGGATCTGGCTTGTGCCCAGTTCCTCGCCAGCGCCCTCCAGCCCTCCCATACCTCATTTCGTATCTTTTATGCCCCCCATGAAAACCTCCATCCAGTCGAGGTTCGGTCACCTGGTCACACCATTCTTGGTTAAGGGCATGATGCCTGCCGGTGCCTACGGAGAGGCCAAGCGGTCCCTCCGCAGGGAGATCGCCTCCCGCGTTGCGGCGGCTGACGCCATAAACGCCGTACTTGCAGCCCCGCCACCGCCGATTGCATCAGTGGAGGCCTCACTCCCTCGCCCCTACCACTCAGCGCTATCCCAGCTCCGCTCGGGATACTGCAGCTCTCTGGCGTCCTATTCTGCCAGGATCGGACGCTCCCCTAGCTCCGCTTGCCCGGAGTGCGGGGATCCCCTCCAGTCCGTTCTGCACCTCTTCGCCTGCCCCACCTTCCCCACATCTCTCAGCGTCTCCTCAATGCGGGACAGCCCCGTGGAGGCAGCGGCTTTCCGGGCCACCCTCCCTGCCTTCGCCCATTATCTTTCGATGAGCTACTTTACTTTCAAAACACAAATAGCGTCGTTTGTCCTACACCTAGAACTGCTTTAAAAATAATTCATTTGGATCTTTTCACATTTCTGGCGACAAGTAATTTTAATTTTGAAAGCTGGATCCCTATTGCTCGGTTATCAGTGATGGCCTCTTATACTAAATGTGCCATGATTGGGCCGTATTCTCAGTTGGTCGATCATTCCCTCTGAACAAGCCCTGATTATTTAAATTATTAATTAATGTGCTTCGGAATCTCTTCAGTTAATTAACCTATTATGGGATGGAAAGTAATTTATAGAACGACTAATGGAATGCTCAAAGTAATCCCATTTTACTAATCTACCAGTGTTAAAATTTATGTTTCAATTGAATGATACATTATAAATTAATGTAATTTGATTGCTCAGCTTTTAATGTCATGCTTTAGATGTCATGCTTTTAATGTCTCTTGACCTCTTGGTCAAGAGAGATTAGGATATAGTCGAAAATTAATTCTGCTGAGGTATTATCTCTTTAATATGTTCCTTTTCTTTCTTTAAATATGTATGACAGTTTTCGCGGTCTCTCTGGTCTCGATATTCTGTCTTTATCCTTAAAGACGGCAGTTTCAAATAAAGAACTAAATTCATTAGCTCAATAATAACAAAAACTGATAACTTTGGGTTTGTTTTATCATGAGTAATGCAATGATTTTAATACAATTATTCCTAATACAAACGTTTTCCAGCAGCTTTTGCTTAAAACAAGCAATAAATTTCGAATAAGCCCATGTTATAAGTTTATTTATTTGACAAGACGACTTGCATGAAAGAGTATAAAAACTGGACTGAATTGTTGCACGGCGCCTAAAAAACTGCAACAACCTTGCTGGAAGAATCCGCAGACCGTCATGTAGCAAGGTGCGTAATTGGTGAGGACTGTATTAGTCTTCGTAAGAGGACCGAGCTTCTGTGAAACATGGGCAAGTGTATACACTTTTAATAAAACTTATTCTCTTCCTTGCAGTGTTGCTCAAGTTAATAAACAAGCCACACATGTTCATGAATTCTCGAATAATTTATGGTCAACGTGATCAAATATCCACAATTTAACTGAAACAAGAGAGAAAGTTTTCACATGCGACGTAGTTTAATTAATTTTATAAAAGAAGTCTAGCTACAAGCAATTTAAAATAGAAACTCTTACAAAATTCTTAGAAGATCCAGTGAACATTCATGTACAGAGGTAAGCACAGGAAAAGATAATGCGTGTGTGCATAGGCAACTGTAGATACGAATTTTGCATTAACATGAAGAGATACAATAAATATATCATTAAGCACTGATTCCTCATTTCACTGATGAACGATGAAAATTTCCATCATACATTCAAGATAAAAACACACACATAAAAAACATATAAAAACTATTCTGCCGACATGCCACAATGATCATGCAATGAGGCATCCAAGCCGTGGCGGAGAAATAGTGGACACGGAAAACCCAGGCTGCCTTGGCCTGGACATTCCGGGTAACTTTTTCATGCTACCTCTGTACCCAAATACCGGCCGACGCCTGCAGCACACACGCGCCATCGGTGACCAAGGTGAGATGGCTGGTGCGAGCGGGCAGTTATTAAATGTTTGTGGACTATTTACATAAGAACTGATGAACTTGAAGGCTCACTTTAAGGCTTTCATCTCCACGTCGTGCAATTTCTTATCTACATTGACATTTAATTAACTTTGTTAATCAGTAATCGAAATTAATTCCAATCGAGATTAATTAGACTTTTATTTTAGCTCGATGCTGACATTTCTTAAATTAGCTGTTATTTATTCGAACCGAAATTTTGAACATTTGCGGTGTATTTTTACTGAATGAAACTACACGTAATCGAAATAAATTCAACCTGACAGCCTTGCAAATGTGTTTTGTGAGCAGTTGGCCTTGAAAATCTGCACTGTTCGCTAAAGACCCGTTGAATTTGTAACAGAGAGATACACTTTTTTCTGTCCAACGCGTCGAGTTGATAGCGTCATCTCATCGCCAAGTTGCTGGCTTCACTACAACAGAAACGACTTACTTTTCAGGTCTTTGGTTCCATTACATTAAAATTACTTCTTTGCCCTGCTGCTACAATCATACTCGGGTAATTTATTAATAAAGCTCGTCTTCTTTTTCCTCATAGGTTGATTCACAACTCTCATTCCTGCGCAGTGTCAGCTCCTAATAAAAATGAAGGTTTGTTATTTACGAAGCACTGCCATTTATGTTGTTATGAGTTAATTTTCTTTTACGAGCAATTTTATACTTTTAGAAATGAATACCCAAAAAAAGTTTCAAAAGTATTTCTCTTTTAATAATTCGTTCTTAATACTAAAGTTTTATTTCGAATAATAGTTTGATTGCTATAATTAGTAGCAGTATTGATGAAAAACAGAGTGTTTATCAAGACGTGTCACATATGATGTTCAAATTTAAGGTTTTAACTTTGTGTAGGAATTCATATTTATTTTACAGTTATGGTTCTGATGGTAATTCATGCACGAGCGGTAAAATTGATGGGCCAATGATAGACCCAATACCAAGATAAAAAACATGCATTTTCAGCATCGAAAATTTATTAAATTTGATGATAGATCTCGTACAAGTTCAGCGACAACAAAATGTTATGGTTATAGAGACTGACGTTACCGCGATACCGCGATGTCATGGACGATACTGATATTATAAAGTAATATACTGACATAATAAAGTAGCTTACACATGCTTCTATTGCTCCCGACGTTCTTCCAAAAAATTGCTGCCCCTTCAATTAATGGACCTCTTGCTAAACATTTAACAGATTGTGATTGCACAATCAGGCAATGTTTCAATTTAAAATTATCCATGGATATCTTCGTTTACCAAACGCAGTCATTTGAAGAGTTAAGTTCACTGCATACACAACGCGATGACAAGGTGTGCAGTAGTTCCAAGCCTGCTCTGTAATACAGTCTGAAACTCGGCCTTCTCCCGGAGGCCCTGGGATGTCCGGCACAGTTTTCCTGGAGCTTTTCTCGCTATTCGTTCGTAGGGAATTGCTTAAATTGAGGGAAATACTGCATTTTTCTGAGTCTGAGTTTAAGGCGCAGCCCTCGATCAAAAATTAAATCTTAGTTTTCCCATTTCTCAATCGATTGGTAAAGGCTTCAAATTTGGTATAAAATTTAATTTGGAACTTTTTATACTCGACAGTTCCCTCATATACAATGGAAGTTTCAATAGCTTCACTGGAATAAAGCAAATCAATGCTTAAACAAATAGCACATTTGACAGTTAACCCATTTCGACAAAATAAAAGTGTATAGAAGAAAATAAAGTTGCTGTGAGTAATATCTCTGCAGGGTGAATAGAACAAGAATAGTTAATTTAAAATAATTTTTTTCATGCTCGTGTCAAGACGACGCACTGCTTCGATTTTGCAGACCACTTCCCTCGATATCTCCCTTTCGTTGCCATCATTTTTTTTCAGTTTTTAACTAAGATATTTCAGTGAATACCTTTTCGACAATAAGTTTATTAATTTACAGTTTATGATGATCATGCAGCCTGTTGTTAAAATGACTGCAATCTGTTAACACTATTCTTTTAAAACAGGGAGCAAATGCTTCATTGAATGAACCATCGAGTACAGAAATTATTGACCAGAAATAAATTATTAAAAAAAATAGTAATAAAAGTAGCATGAGGTGATGAATGGGGAATTATCCGCAGTAGCCGGGCATTTATGCGTCGTCATAAGCGGGCATTTGGAGGTGGCGAAAAATACGTCTAAAGGTTTTGTCCGCTATATAGTGACGAGTGCGACCGAGAATCGTGCGCCTGAAGTCAAATTACTTCCAATACATGTGAGGCATAAGAAGCTAAGCAAATGTGATTCCGGTTAAAAGCGCCCATTGAAATCAGGACAACATGATAACCTACAAGTTGGATTCTTAAATTACTTTTTTGGACGCAAAATAAGACAAGAGGGGGGGAGAGTTTGGGCGTTAAAATAATACATTCCGCCCTGCATGGACCTGGGTTTAGTTTTAAATGTTGTTATGGCCTTGTTAAAATCATCCTCCAAAAAAGTCTGCTCACTTACGCCTAAATGCGCTGAAAAAATTAACGTATTTATCGTATCGTATCAATCTCGGGAATTATGACTTGATCAAATATTGACAGTGTTTCTAACTTTGTTTGTCTACAGGTATTGATGCTGTTGTCAGTTTTGAGCACGGCTACTGCAGCCTGGACAGCAGAATATTTCACGAGTTCCGTCCCACTTCCTACTGAGAGATTTAAAATATTGTTCTTGTTACCAACCGCTTTGAAGAGTCACGTATGGGTCGCAGCGCCCCTGATGGTTGACTTGGCTAGAAGAGGACACGAGGTAAATGATGGTGGGCAGTTATTGTTCAACAGTTGTCTCAATTACAATTACGATTCAGTAACTGAATAGTAATAGTAGAAAATAATCAGCGATATGAAATGTCAATCATCCGATTAGCTGCAACATTTTAGTTCTAATTCCTGTTCATATCGAGTCATTTATCAAGGACCATGTCCTTCATAGGTACAGTTCATACATTCGAGTTAAAAATTCAAATAGTATTTATTCCTGCTGTTCAACAAACAAAACTTTCCAAAAAACGAATTAATGTTACGATAGAAAATTGAAATAGTGTGCTATATGATTTATACGTTAAAAATCTTCAATTTGATGAACACCTAAGCAATTTTGAAATTATATTTTGGCCGTTCATATGTTGGTATAAATAACAAGTCAAGAGATTGTTTTGCGTTTGAATGTCAGTAACTAAATTGATAAATGTTTTGAAATCTTATCTGTCTTATAGACATCGAATAATTACATAAATAGTTTAAAATATAATTTTCGTCGCAGCAGGTATAATGACGCCATACCGTTCTGATCTTACAGAACAGTATGGCTTACATAAATCGCCGAGGACTTCAGGAATTTGAATTTGTCGCAAATCTTCCCTCAGGTGCACATGTTCTGCGACTCTTCCTACCATTTCAAAATCCCTAACGTGACGTGCATTAATCATGGCGTTAGACTTTCCGCGCCTGAAGATGTCGACACGTTTGACATCGTACGAAATCCCCTTTCGCTTCTGAAAACTATCACTGATGCGGCAGCAAACGATGCAGAGAAAATGTTCAATTCAGACATTACCATGAAAATCTTCGAGCGTCGGGGAGAATACGACTTGATCGTGATTGATCACTTGGGCTTGTCGGTAAGATTCTCTAATGAGCATTTAGCAACAATTAAAGGATCTATAAATCATTAGCCTTCTCGAAAGTCACTTTGCTTCCAATTTTTAAACGTCATTAATTTTGAAACAGAAAGCTCATGAAAACTTCACGTGCTCAGCTCTCCTTTGACATCAGAAAACATTTGAATTTTATTTCTAAATTCAATGTGATTTGCAAGGTTTTCTTGAAAATTAATATAGACTATTAATTATTTTTGATTCCAATTTTTCTATTTCAATACAAAAGTAAGCTTGAATTATTACCAGTTTTTATTCGAGATTTTTTTAACTAAGCTAACCTCAACGCAAAATGAAATAGTTTATCCAAAAGAATCCATAGCAAACGTATATTCCAATATTCGTTTTTTTTTATTTCAACTGCATTCACCTCATTGGTTATTAATAAATTGTTCGTTCTTAGCAATTTTTCGCTTGTGGCGTTAACTGGATAATATGTTTTCGGCACCGCGTTTTAATCTAGCACGAGGAAATTTTCGTCTTCATTCTTTAGCTCTCACATATACAGTATTCTTTAAACTTTTAAGTGGTCATCAAGCTGGTTTCTGAAAATTTTTCATGAAAGATTTGCTCAAGTGACTTGTACTCATGCTATCTCTGCTTTTAGATTCTTCGCTTATTTGCTATTCTAAGAAAATAATTATACAAAAAATTTGAATTACATTCTATTATATGTAACATCATTACACTTGCAGATCTTCTACCCTTTCGCGCACGGCACGCCGTTCGCAATTTTTTCGACTTCAGCTCTCCTGCCATGTCAGAGCGCAAGCTTGGGGAACGTCCCAAATCCAGCTTTCGTTTCAAGTGCTCTCATGGAATTCAAGCAACCTTATGGAACTTTCGACCGGCTCAAGAACATTGTACTGACTTTCGCTCAGTGCTACGTTTATTGGGCGATCCCTTCACAAACAGAAAAACTGGTGAGATACTCGTACGCGTCTAATCCATTCAAATCTAAGTGTTTGAATGAGGATTTTCTTGGCATTCTATGTAAGAAAATATTATCAAGGAATTGTCCAGGATATAATCGAGGATATTTTAACTATTCAAAGAGACATATTGCAGGGATAAAATTAATAGTCGCGAGGAGATAGCGTTTCTTTTCCACCTCGGTATTTACAAAGGAAATCATACATCATTAGAAATGAAGATAAATATCAAAACTCACTACTAACTGTAAGCGATCGAACACTTTAGCTTGACATTTGCTTCTAGACACGGAAGTCAGCCAAAGTCTTTCTTTGAATTTAATTTGTTATCAGTAACGTCAATTAGGCTCAAGATTAAATTATCCATATATATAATAGTTTCTACTCTAAAGTGTCACTGGCAACGTAGAATTGAACTCATTTGCTCTACAGATGAGCGAACGCTTCCCATCGCTTCCGTCACTGAAAGAAATCGAACGGAATGCGAGCCTGCATCTCCTGACGACCAGCTTGGCGTTGGATGGTCCGCTGGCCCTGCTACCTAATCAGGTGCCCATCGCCGGACTCGTGCTGATGCCGCCACAACCTCTACCCAAGGTTTCTTACTTACTACGTTATAGTTATAAGTACATGAGTATCGTTAATAGAATGAACTTACATAACAATAACACATTAAGAAAAATGATAACAATAGAATAACGTACATTTGCACCTGCAGGAATATGAATAACGGCTTTATGAATCATGCGTGTTGGCAGTCCAGCCATATAAACCGGGAGTGGATATATTCTGTTAAAACATTTCTTGCAATGTTATAACGGGAAAATTTCCGATCTTCAGACTATCCAAGTCCTCGAAGACATTTGTTAATAGATAATATCAATTTGTAGTGCTTCAGTATTAAGAGTTTTTGAAATATTAAAAACCAAAACTTCTTTCTCACAGCATTTGGATAACTTCACCAAGAATTTTTCATTTCAGGACATATTAGACTTCATGTCTGGAAACACGTCGGTTATATACATCGGTCTTGGTGTATCGTACATACGCAACGATTCAATTCCTCGAGACAAAAAAGATATTCTACTCTCAGTCTCCAAGAAGCTTCCATACAAAGTCATAATGAATGTGCACGGACAAGCAAGTAGTAGGAGCGGCAATGTCCTCCTTACAGGCAATGCTCGTCAACAGGATATTTTAGGTGAGTTCTAGCAAACATAGCATTTTCAAGACCGCTCATTGTATGTTTAAAATGATAAAATGTTTGTAGGCCTATGAATACTTAAAGCTTTTTCATATACAGTATCTAAGCACGAAAAGTATTACAATTTTACATTTATGTCGTTAAAATGCATTCAACTGTTCATTTCTATATATGGGTACACATTTTGATTGATTTATGCTAGTGCATAAATTGCGTGTAGGATAATAATTTTTCTCCAAGAGCATTCAAGAAATGTAATGTCCGATCGCTGCATTAAATGAAACATTGTATAAATATAATCATAATTTTGTTTATTACAGCGCATCCAAACGTGAAGCTGTTCATTAGCCACTGCGGTCTAGCAGGCGTCTACGAAACTGTTTACCACGGCGTGCCTGTGATCGCCCTCCCCGCGGCTCCCGAGCACGGAGCCATGGCGGGGAAATTAGTGCTGGCTGGTGCAGCCATCCAGCTGTCCTGGCTCACCCTAACTGAGGAGATCTTACGTGACGCCGTTATGGAAATCATGACCAATCCAAGGTAAATAATCAAAAATTTCGTCATTTTATTGATATTTGTTTGTTGGTTTATGTGTTTGATGTTTGACTCGGGAAACATATAGAGGCCGTTCGAGCGCGTATCCACGATACTCATCGTGTCCCAATATTATTCATGATGAGGAATATTATATATTCCTTATATTTAGCCAATTAGAAGATCGATGTAAAATTTGGGTTTGAACGGGTCTTTCTATGATAAACAAACATCACTTTTATTAATATACACATCAATTAGCGCAATATAAATACCTAAATACGCGCACTCAGTTAATCAATACCTCATCCAAGTTACCTCATACCTCATCATACCTCATCAATACCTCATCAATACCTCATCATCACTCTGTCGTTGCAACCGTGTCTTCTAATACTGTAATCTTGCTGTTCATTTATTCTTGCCAAGGTGGATTACATTAAATTTATCAGCGTTAAAAAGCAGCTGCCACTTATCAGCCCAGTCAACCAGCCTGTCAAGATCACCTTGTAACTGTACTTTTTGCGACGTATTCTTCACTGTATTACTAATTTTTGTGTCGTCAGCATACATTGAGCACAAGCTAGACACAGCTTCTGGCAGATCGTTTATAAACGCAACTAATAGAATAGGCCCGAGAACGCTTCCTTGTGGCACGCCGCTGAGCACTGGAGCCCAGTCTGATACGGACCCATTAATACTGACACGTTGGCGTCTCCCTACTAGAAAATCTCTGATCAATTTGAGTACATTGCTGTCAATTCCCAAAGATTGCAATTTCCGCAACAGCCGCTCATGTGGGACACTGTCAAATGCCTTAGCAAAATCGAGGTACACTGCATCTACTGGCTCCCATTCGTCCAGCAGACGGGTCCATTCGTTCAGAGTAGACAAGAGGTTAGTGGTGCAGGATCTCCCGGCAATAAAGCCATGTTGACAGTCTGATAGGAGATTATTAGCAGTCAAATGGTCTATCAATCGATCCCTCACAACAGATTCCATTACCTTGCAAACGACACTTGTCAAACAGACAGGGCGACAGTTGTGTGGGCAGCTTTTATCACATTTTTTGAATAATGGTGTCAAATGAGCTTCTTTTCAGCCGGCAAGATAACTTCGTTCAAAGTATTTCGGAAAAATGACGTCAGAGGGCCAGCTAGGACAGTTGCTAACTCTTTGAGTAATCTGGGGTGGAGGCCGTCTGGTCCACATGACTTGTTTGGATTTACAGCGATAAGGCGCTTGAGAACCTCTTCTTCTTGTATTTCAAAACTTGTTAATTTAGAGCCGACTAGGAGTGGGTGCTCCTCAATAGCTGGAATACTGGTCAAGACCTCTTCAGTGAATACGCTACTGAAAAGTTGATTAGGAACGTTAACCTTGCCCTCATCAGAGGATATCTTTCGTTGATCTACTTTCAAATCAGAAATACCGTCCTTAATCTTGCACTTCGAGCTAGCTTACAAAAAAGGCTTTCGGGTTCTTTTTTGCATTTTTAGCAATATTTTTTCGAGGGTTTTTATTGCGGTGCGACAGCTTTCTTTAGCTTGATTTCGAGCTTTTTCGTATAGGTTATAGTCAGCATCGCTACGAGTCTGTAAATAACGCTGGTAGGCTTCCTTTTTTGTATTCAGCTTAGCTAGAACTGTACTGTTCATCCACTGAGTTTTTTTGGCTCCACCAAGCTTAATTTTAGGTACACACGCATCAACTGCAGACATAACCGTGTCCTTGAGAAATGACCATGACTAAGTCACATTCATGGCCTTAATACAGTTCGAAATATTCACTGCATTCACTGCTTCACGGAGTTTATCATAGTCGCCATTCGCAAAATTCAAACGCTCACGCTTTCGAGGCTTCTTCACTGTACAGCACTTTAGACTGAAAAACAATTATTGGTGATGGCTTTTGCCCAATGGAGCTTCGTGACGAAGCTCATCTAACATCGATTCATCACTAGTAAACACCAGGTCTAGAATATTGGGAGTCTGTTTACTTCTATAATGGGTTGGCTTATTAAAGTGCTGAACTAGGAAGGAGTCTCTCACAGACTCCATGAACAAGGATGCTGGGTGATTCTCATCCCTTGGAGAGGATCCATCTGTCCAGTCTAGCTCTGGATGATTAAAATCACCAACGATCAACGTGTGTGACCTACGGAAAGCCATGCTCGGTAAAAGACTGTTTAGTACTTTATCGTTATCAGAGGAACTGTTTGGTGATCTATACACGACGCCTATGAGGCTATCTTTGCCTTTGAGAGAAAGTTCGCACCACACTGATTCTCTAGGTGATTGATGCTCTGCAGATAACTTGATTTGCTGGGCCCCATAAGAGGTTCTAACCAACAAAGCTACACCTCTACTGCACTGCTCTTCATTTAAGTTATGAAAACAATCAAATCCTGGTAACTGAAATTCAACAGGTACAATTTCCCCCCGTGATTTTTAGGGAGTGTTTCTGTAATACAAATAATGTCTATGCACTCGTTTACGATCACAGTTAACAGCTCACTTTTTTTTTGTTCAAAGCAGAATCCGAATTTGTGTAAAAACATTTTAAATCTTTTTGTGCACATTCACTTTGATGCATGCGTTTACTTCTTACATTATTTACAGGCCTGAATCTATGGACATGACTTCTTACTTGTCTACCAGCTCCGCTAACTGACCGTGTGCGGCCGGTGTTAACTTGACATCGTGAGAGTGGTTGACCTGAGTCTCGCCTGCCATTTCTTGCGAAAATTTGCTCTCTCTAAAGGGGTAGCATCCTACTTAACAAAGACTGATTTAAACTCTGGGAATTCACTTAGTTTTCTCGCAGCCTTAAGCACATGTCCGACCTGAGGCCGTATTAACAAAACTTCGTAAGTACGCAAAATTGACTTACGAGTGACGTTGCTATGACAACGTAATACTAGCGATGGTATTATAAAAGCATTTGCGCGGGAAAAATTTGCGCGGGAAAAAAATTTAGGCTTTTAGCTAAGACTTGCGTACGAAAGTTTTGATAATGCCATAATTAGGGTGTATTTACGTACCTTAGAACTTTTTTGTCGTAAGTACAAAAAGTTACGAAGTTTTGATAATCCGGCCCCTGGGCTGTATCCTGCACAGTTACCGGCAGCGGTCTACAGGCGGTAGCGTCTTTCGATGGCAGCCTCTTGCATGCCATTATATTCACAACGACGTTAAGTGCCTTGGCACAGCAATCAGTAATAAACATCCCGAAAGCATCCGGAGCATTGCTTTCGGGAACGTTAAACCAAACAAGATTAAGTTTTCTTCTCTATCGAGCAGTTCACGAGTGCTCTCGTTGGCGAGATCAGAGATGACATCTTTGCGGCCTTTACCTTCTGTGTTATCGCCATTTTCTGTTTTGTGCAGATGAGCTTTCATTACCACCAGCTCGTTTCGTAACGAGTGTAATTCGCTACACAACAAGCTGAATTCTTTCTTGTGATTCTCTTCCATTTCGGCTCTCTTCCTCAACTCCTGTTTGATGGTTTCCTCCATTTCGGCCTTAAAGACAGAAAACATAGAAGAGCACTTCTTTGTTTTCCACCATTTTTTCGCTTTATACAGCGCTAAGTGCAGGTTGTTGGCAGTCTTGGCAATACAGTCTTGTCATTACAGATCTTGTCATTATACTGCATGTCAAATAATCTCTATTTGAATTTCTTTGTACAATCATGATCAACGTTGTCAAATCAAAGAGGTTGGTTGCGTTCACGATGCGATCGTAAAATGTTCCAGATTCTATGGTTAATCATTTCGTTGCAGCTTCGGGGAGAAGATGGCCTTCGTATCCCGGGTGTTCCGGGACCAGGAAGAAACAGCGCTTGACCGCGCAGTGTTTTGGACCGAGTATGCGGCTCGCTTCCAGGGAGCGCCGCACCTCAAGTCCCCAGCGCGACACCTCTCCTGGATAGAGGTCCTCAGCCTTGATTTTATTCTGCTAGCACTTGTTCTATGTTACTGTGCATTTAATGTGTTCATCAAAACTATCCGAGTGTTGAAAGCCAAATGTTTGAGAAATAAAAATGAAAAGGAAAAAGTTACTTAAACTTAATTGTGTGATGTAGCTTGATTGTAACGCTTATACTCTTTCGGTAATTATGTACTATGAGACTATATGCCATTGAATAAAGTTATTGTAGTATTGGAACGACGATGTCCCAGTGGACGATGGAACGACGATGTGCCAGTCAGGGTTGCCCAGTGGTTACAGTTCAGAGTACCAAGATTGGAGCAGAGAGGCGCGGGTTCGATCCCAGCTCTGTGCGCCAGTTTCTGGTCGGAATCGGCAAGGAGGCCAGGCGGTTAGGCAAAGTAAAACTTGAAGCAGTGAGTTGAGAGTTCGAGACCGCAACAAGCTGTAAATGTTCTGCAATGCTAAGAATCGGCGATAGGCCTACGGCCTAAAAAACGATGAATCCGCTATTATTATAATTATATTATTAAAAATGCCTCAGACTTCGTTCACTTAGTTAAACAGATGAATTCTATTGTATAAAACCTATTCTGAAATGAGCGTGGTGTTAAATTGCTAAATTCTTGACAAAAATGTTATGCATTAAAATTAAACATGCAGCGTTCGAGAAAAAGTTGATGTATGAGTGAAAATATCATTAATTTTCAACATTTGCTTGTTGTGAGTTGTGGGTTTCTACCGCAAATTTTATGGTTCATGTCCTAGTTACCTGTAACAGGGAGCACCCGCCTCTGTTGTCCGTCTCGTTGTTTTGCGTGTTCGGCTTGAGCAGCTAGCCGCTCTATCGGTGCTAAAGTAAGTCCAGGTTAGGTCCCATCGGAGTCGTACACTCATTCATGATCAGTGTAGACTCAACTGTTGAAAATGGAATTCTGCACTCGATGGAGATAGAAAATATCGAAGCATTTCCTCTGAGGAATCTGTTTCGGGTCTCGCCTAATGTGAGGTCGCATCATTTGTCGACGAGCAATTATTACGGTGTTGTTTAAATCTATGAACTTATTTTACATAGTGAATATACTCAGGTGCGTAATTTCCCTTCATAAATCTATTATGCATCATCTCAAAACATTGCTTGTTTTGATGGTATTTAACCAAGATTTTATGCCAGCTTTCAAAAATTGATTTAATTCAGGCATTTAGACTGAGAAATTCGAAACCAATTACAGTAAAGAAAATAGATGAATGGGCATAAGGTTTATATATTTTTAGAGGTATTAGAATAAAATAGAAGTGTCGGCAGTAAAGAAATATTCCAATGGCCTGTGGTGCACGAGTATGGGCTGATGAAATTTTTATTCTTCTTGAAATGTCGCGAGGAAATTTCCTGTAGTTGATCGTTGTCTAAATTCGAAGAGTTACAAACTATTAGCAAGAGCGACGTCACATACAATATTTATTTTGCGTGGCAGATTTGAGACTATATACATGGAACTGCGTCGCACTTTTCCTCGATACATCCACTGGGAGGCCGCTTTCAAGGGTGATGGGCAACAATTTTTGTGAGAATTGTAATCCTTAAGCTAAACGCGGAAGTAGAAGAGCCTGTTATTGTATTTAAAGTTACATGATATTTTTTTCTCGTCTCACCATTACCTATTCGTAGCGTGCATACCAATCGATAATTAGCATTTATTTTGTCTGTTGACTTAATTAACCTCCGAGTCAGTTTCCTTCAAATAGACGTTGATTACCAGTTTGTGCGTGGCTTGTTGGTTTCATTATTTTCCATTACATTTTCCAACCTAATGCAACAAACTAGTCATATTGAGTATAATAACACTTTGTTATTGTGTTAACTCATAAAAACAGATTTAAAGTTTAAAAATCTATAGTCTAACTCAATGCACATTGCTTTAGGTCAATGGGATTTGTAATAAGATTCAATAAATTAATAAAATCCATGTTCCCTACTTTCAATTCCCTATGCTAAATGTTGTCCTGAATTGTATACTCTGACAGATTTTTGCACTAGCATGATTTAATTACGAGGATATATTTTTTAATAGTTCATATTCTCGTCGTGAAACTGGGTATAATTTCACCACGCATAACGCACTACATGATTTTTTTTACTATTTTTACCTCAAACAAATATTATGCTCAAACAAATGGAATAAACCAAAATCGAAATCACGAGACAATTGAATTATTATTACCTATAATATATGGCGTGAAGGCACACAAGGTTGTAGCCTACCAACTGGATAAAGAACTTTCGAGGAACAGATAGACAAACATCAATAACGGTTAAAATGCAAACAATGTGTAAACGCCAAGCCTTTCGGAAGTCTTGTGGACGTGTTTGAGTTGTGAGATATATGTACATTAAAAGTATACCAGAATATATTAATTGCAACAATGCCGAACGCCGTGTCTTGCTATTAATTAGCCGTGTTCTAAATATTACGCAGATCCGTTACTAATAAATAAGTTATGAGCTGTTGAATTGCGCCTAAGTTAGAATAGAATAGATACAAGTGTCGATATCGAAGAAATAGGACCATGGCCTGTTGCCGATCTTGTACGTTTCGTGACTTGATTCTTCAAGGGATCCGGCCTTTGGAACCCGATCTTTCCATAACTGACGATTGATTGAGATAGCTGCTGGACTTATTGATATTGCCTGGTCCGTTTAAGGAGTTAGGCATTTCAAGACTGAACAGATGCTCCTGTATAGCTTCGTCTAGTCTGTTCTTGAAGCGTTCATACTCTGAGCGTCAACGATGCAATCAGGGAGCGAGAAGAATTGTTGTCGCGTGGATGTGTTACAACGCAGTTTTTTTAGTTTATAGCCGTGGCCCCTGGTGTTGGTTCTTGTTTCAAATGCTAGTAGTCTTTAATTCATGGACTTTGTATAAACATTGGGTATACTTGTACACTTCAATGAGGTCACCACGCAGACATTGGTAACAGAGGCTTGGAAGCTTCATAATCTTTTATCTTTCTTCACATAATCTTTTATCTTTCTTCATAAGACTTGCCTTTTAATCCCGGAATTATACTTGTTGCACGTCTTTGAACAATCTCAACTAAATTTTTGTCCTTTTCTAGTTTTGGTGACCACAAGACATTTCCAAACTCTATCGGACGCACGACTGAGACAAATAACTGTTTCATCGGTACAGCCTCTATGTACTCGTAAGAGCGTCTGATCAGTAATAAGAGCGTCTGGTTACTCGTACTCGTAAGTAGGTACTCGTAGAAGCGTCTGATCAGACAGATCAGTCGTTTATTGACTTTATTAACTTGAGCTTCAATATGCTTAGAAAATTTCAACTCATAATCGACATTAACTACAAAATCTTTTTCCATTGTTGACTTCGACATCATCACTCTGTCGTTGCACCCGTGTCTTCTCATACTGTAATCTTGCTGTTCGTTTTTCTTGCCAAGTTGGATTACTTACATTTGTCAGCGTTGAACCGCAGCTGCCACTTATCAGCACAAAGAACCAACCTGTCAACATCACCTTGCAACTGTACTTTTTGCGACGTATTCTTCACTGTCTTATACACTTTTGTATTGCCAGCATACATCGAGCACACGCTAGTCACATCTTCTGGCAGATCGTTTATATAATCGCAACGAATAAAACAGGCCCGAGAACGCTTCCCTGTGGCACACCGCTGTGCACTGAACTGCGTTGTCGTCTCCCTACTAGAAAATCTCTGATCCAATTGAGTACATTACTCTCAATTCCCAAAAACTTCTATATATGCAACAGCCGCTCGTGTGGAACACTGTCAAACGTCTTGGCAAAATCGAGGTACAGTGCATCTACTGGTTCTCTTTCGTCCAGCAGGCGGGTCCATTCATTCAGAGTAGGCAAGAGGTTAGTGGTGCAGGATCTACAGGCAATAAAGCCATGTTGACAGTCTGATAGGAGATTAAATGGAATGACTTGAAATTTTTTAAATCTCCTCCCGCACCGCATTGCTAATAATTACTTATGCTCTGAATTTTATACAAATCGGTTTAGTATTAAGGGAGTTGTGAGCTGTTCGGTTACGCAAAAGTTGCGATATGCGTTAAACTCCGCTGGCGAGCTCGACGGTGAGTTCGGAGAAATGTGGACTAGGTGAGCAATACTATACCTTAGGCATCTACTTCTCTATGTTTATCAACAACAAGAACATATTGGACGGTAGCTGCAGTAGTTGGGTTGAACAAAATTAACGAAGGCTCACGCCACTTAAATCAGAGTTAGTTATTTGAGAAAAAATTATATAGTGTGTTAAGCGTGGTGGAATTATATCTAGTTTTACACGAGAATCTAAATTATTAACAAAATATCCTCGTATTAAAATCATGCTAGTGCAAAAATCTGTCAGAATATACAATGCAGGACAACATTTATCAAAGGGAATTGAAAGTAGGGATCATGGATTGGATTTCATCTATTTATTGAATCTTATTAGGAATCCCATTGACCTAAAGCAATGTGACTTGAGTTAGATTATAGAATATTTAAACTTAAAATCTGTTTTTTATGAGTTAACACAATAAAAAAGTAGATAATATGACCAGTTAAGTGCATTAAGTTGGAAAGGTAATGGAAAATAATGAAACCAACAAGCCACGCACAAACAGGTAATAAACGTGTATGTGACAGAAACTGACTCGGAGATTATGTCAACTGTCCGGTGTCAACTCACTTGACCTGATAGAGATTGAGGACGAGTCAACATCTGATAGACACGTGATAGATCACGCGATCAAGACCTCAGTAGTGGGCGGAAGTAAAGCTAATAAAAGTTCTAGCAAACCTTAAGCAGAGCCCCCCAGTAGCTGATAAGCACTCCGCGATGTAGCGTGTAGCTTGAGTTCTCCGACCTGACGGTCAGTGCCGTAGCTTATTCCTCTGCATCGCAACTCTGTATTACCACCCCGTATACAAGATACGTTATCTGGACTGATGTGTCTTACTTATCCCTCACTACCTTAGTCAACGAAGAACCCGATCCTGAGGTAGAGCTTAATATAATGAGATCAAAGTCATAGGTTGTAGTTAATTTACAACCTGTGACACAACAGACAAAATACATACTAATTATAGATGGTATGAATGGCTGATGGCGAAACGAGGAAAAAATAACATGTAGCGCTAATATACAATGCAAGGCCTTTCCACTTCCGTGGTTAACTCTAGGACTACACTTCTCGCAAAAATTGTTGTCTTTCACCCTTGATAGCGATTTCCCGGTGGATGTTGTCCATGCATCACCCTTGATAGGAGCCTTCCAGAGGATGTGGTCCATCACCCTTGA